TCAACTTAAAAAAGAAAGAAAACAATCCCATTTACAATTGCATCAAAAAGAATAAAACCTAGGAATAAATTTAACCAAGGGGGTGGAAGATCTGTACACTGAAGGAAACTGAAGAAGACATAACAAATGGAAAGATATCCCATGTTCATAGATAGGAAGAATTAGTACTGTTTACATGTCTGGACTACCCAAAACAACCTAAAGAAACAATGCAATCCCTATCAAAATTCCAATGGCATTTTTCACATAAATAGAAAAAACAATCCTAAAATCTGTAGGGAATCTAAAAGACCCCAAATAACCAAAGTAATCTTGATAAAGAAGAACAAATCTGGAGGCATCACACTTCCTGATTTCAAACTATAGTAATCAAAACAGTATGGTACTAGCATAAAAACAGATACACAGAACAGATCAACAGAACAGAACAGAGAGCCCAGAAATCAACCCATGCATATAAGGTTAATTAGTTTTCAACAAAAAACCAAGAATACACAATGGGGAAAGAATAATCTCTTCAAAACAGTGTTGGGAGAACTGGATAACCACTTGCAAAAGAATAAATCTGGACCCCTATCATACACCACACACAAAAATCAACTCAAAATGGATTAAGGACTTGAACATAATACCTAAAATCATAAAACTCCTAGAAGAAACCAAGAGGGGTAAGCTCCTTGAGATACGGGTCTTGCCAATAAATAAAGCAAAGGCAACAAAAGCAAAAATAAACAAGTGGGACGACATCAAACTAAAAAGCTTCTGCACAGCAAAGGAAACCATCAGCAAAATGAGAAGATACACTGTAGAATGGGAGACAGTATCTGTGAAACACCTAATAAGAGATTAACATCCAAAATATACAAGGAATTCATACAACTCAGAAGCAAAAATAGTAACAACAGTAACCCCATTTAAATTGGGCAAAGGCCCTGAATAGCCATTTTTTCAAAGACATACAAATGGCCAACAGGTACATGAAAAAGTGCTCAACATCAGTAATCATCAGGGAAAAGCAATCGAAACCATAGTGAGATATCACCTCGCACCTGTTAGGATGTCTGTTATCAAAAAGACAAGTAACAAAAACTGGAGAGGATGTGGAGAAAAGCCATTGGTAGCAGGAATGCAAACTGGTGCAGCCACCATAGGGCTCCTCAAAAAATTAAAACCAGAACCACAGTCCAGCAATTCCAGATTATCCAGAGGAAATGAAACCAGTATCTCAGAAACGTCTGCACTCCCATCTTCACTGCAGCATTAGCACAAAAGCCAAGTTATGGAAAAAAACTAAATGTCCACTGACAGATGACTAGATAAAGAAATGTGATGTATATACTCACACACACAACAGAGCATTATTCAGCCATTAAAAAGAAAAAAATCTTGTCATTTGCAACAACATGGATGAACCTAGAAGGCATTATGCTAAGTGACATAAGCTGGACAAATACTGCAGGTGTCATATAATGAATCTAAAAAAGTACCTGAACTCATAGAAACAGGAGAAAAGTGCTCGCCAGGGGCTGGGGAGGTGCAGGAAATAGGGAGAGGTTAGTAAAACATACAAACTTTTACTTACAAGATGAAAAAGGTCTGAGGATCTATTCGTATACCACGGTGACTACAGTTGAAAACACTGTGTTGTATAAGTGAAATCTGCTAAAAGAATAGAGCTTAAATATTCTAACAATAACAAAAAAGGTAAATATGTGAGGTGATGGATACATTACTCAGCTCAATGGGGACAACCCTTTGACAATGTACACAGATATCAAATCATCATATTGTACCGTTAAATATCTCACAATTTTGTCAGTTATACCTCAGTAAAACTGTAAACAGATACACAGGTAGATAAACAGATAAATGAAGTAAGCTTCAGGAGAGAGATTACAACTGAGAAAAATTTTTTAAACTTTGAAGTGGTTTGCAAAGTGGATAGTCCATCAATTTATGAAAATATGTATCTTAAGTTTACATTTATCAACGTGTGATCATGTCAGGCTCTAAACCAACATATACCTGAGCACTGAATTAATTCACCCTTTATTCATGCTGATTAAATTCCCTATCTTTACGTGCTAAACACACACACAGAAACAGAAACACAAAAAGCAGAAAAAGAGAAGAAGAAAACAGGAACAAAGAAGAGCAACAGAGAAAACAGTAATTAATATGGTAGCTATTAATCCAACTGTACCAATAATCACTTTGAATTCCAATGGCCCAAATACTCAAATTAAGACAGTGGATCAAAAAACAACTGTATGTTGTCTATGAGAAACCCACTTGAAATATAAAGACACATGTATACAAAAAGGAAATGGATGAAGATACACCACGTTAAGAAAGCAGGAATAGCTTCCAACAGAGCCGACTTTAAAGCAAGAAAAGTTATCAGGGACAGTGAGGGGCATCACATAATGACAAAGGGTCAATTCTCCAGGAAGACTTAGTGGTCCTTGACACGTATGCACCTAACAACAGAGCATCAAACTGTATGAGGCAAAGAGTGATACAACTGCAGTGAGAAACAGATGAACCCACTATCAAAGCTGGAGACTCTGAAAGCCCTGTCTCAGAAACAGTCAGATCCAGCAGGCAATCAGTACGGACACGGCTGCACTGACCACCACCATCAGGCAACATACACAACTGACACCTACAGACCATTTCATCCAGGAGCAGCAGGGCACACACTATTCTCAGGCTCACACAGAACATTCACTCAGACAGACCCCGTTCTGTGACAGGAACACATCTTAAAATTCACGAGAGGAATCATACAACATCTCCCCTCATACCACAGTGGAATTAAACTAGAATTCAGTGACAGAAAGCAGATAGGTGGAAAATACCAGAATACTTGGAGATTAAACACACTTCTAAATAACATGGGTCAAAAAAGAAATCATGGGGAGGGTGTAGCTCAGGGAACGTGCTTAGCATGCACAAGGTCGTGGGTTCAATCCCCATACCTCTGTTAAAAAAAATAATCAAATAAAAGAATTTTTAAAAAAGAAATTAGAAATTGTTCAAATATTTTGTCAAAATTTTTGTGCATTAATTGGTATAGCCCTGTGATTTTTCTTCCTTAGACTGTTAATATGGTGGATTACATTGACTGATTTTAAAATATTGAACCAGCCTTGAATTCTGAAGATAATCTCTCCTTTGCAGCAGTGTATTACTCTTTTTATGTATTGCTGGATTCAATTTCTAATGTTCTGAGGATTCTTACACTTAGTTCATAAGTGTTATTGGTCTGTAGGTTATGTTTTTTGCACTAATTTTGCTTTTGACACTAGGGTAGTGCTGGTCTTGAAAAACAAATCAAATATTCTCTAGCTTCTCTACGTGCTTTGTTCTTACAAAGAGCTTCCCATCCCAACATCAGATCAAATTTTTAGCACCTGTTTTATGTTTCTTTCTTTGGAAAAAAAAAAGGTTAAATCTATAACCCATCTGGAACTTATTTTAGCATATGGTGTGAGGAAGGATCAAAACATTTTCTCCAAAATAATCAACTGCTTCGGCACCATCTTTGAAGGATTCTATATCCTTACCTCAATGATTGGAAACCTCTTCTTATTATAAACCAAGTGCACATACATTTGGGTTTGTTTCCCAGCTTTCCACATGTCAAGCAGTAGAGTAGGAAGACAGGCGGGAGACTGGGGCCCAGAGGTCTGAGCTCTGGGAACAGGCAGTGGACAGGAAGGGCAGCCCCAGGGATGCAGGGCTCTGCATAGGATGAGGGTGGTCCCACTGATGAAGCTGTGACCCTGCCAGATGCCCAACCTCCTGTCACCACGTCTACCACTTAGCCTGACAACAGTCACCACACGGGCCCCTCCTGGTCTGCACACCACCACCAGACTCCCAGCATCATGTGACTGGACACCTCGTCCTGAGTGACCCGCTACCCCAGTTGTCCTCACTGTCCCCCTGTCCTCAGTGTCCACAGTCTGGCTCCCTAGGTCCCATCACCCCAGGGTGCCCAGTAACATTTAGTGAATGGACACTGGTGCTTCGGGGCAGAGGCCAATGACCACCTTATGACTAAAGGTGTGGTTAGTTCTATTTTCCCGTGTGTCATCTCACGAATCCACAGATTACACCCCAGATTACAGATAAGCATGTCTGTTTACACTTTATTTCCAGACAACGTAATTCCAACAGTCAAGACCCAGTGTCACTGCTGTCATCTTCCTCAATCTCTGCAATCTGTAAGAAGCCAGCGGCAACATTCTATTATTCACATAAGCTGCTCCCTTATGATTTAAACAGGTTTCTTGCTGGAAACACTGGTGGCATTCCCCTCAACTCCACCCAGACGCTGCTTTTCTAGGTTTTTACAGAGACTGAAGCCCAGGTTGGGCTGTTCTGCCACAAGGTCTCAGATCCTGAGATGCTGAGCAGGAAAGGGGGTTGGACTGAGGGTCCTAGGAGGGTCCCATGTTCCTGCCAGCCCAGCTCCCTCCCACATCTCGCTTGTCTTGGAGCAGAGTTTGTGAGCCCAGAAGCCACTGTGCAGGGAGGTGCGCAGAACTCGAACTCTCCACCCTGCCTGTGTGACACCGGGGGAAGAAAGATGGAGAACTCGGGCTTTGGCGAGCCTCACAGACACTAACTGGGAGCTGCAGGGACAGGGGAGACCAGGCTGGGGACACATGACAAAGACTTTGCTGGTATTAAAAGAACAGCCTAATACATTAAACACTGGATACCCACAGGTTCCCAGAGACAACAGAATTTATGTAATCACTCACAAGAAAGTTGCATTAACTTTGACTTAGATTCCTCACAAAGGCATGTTTTCAATCAGTTAAAAATTCAAGCTACTGAGCCAATGGTCATACAGGAAATCAATTACACATCCCTTAGGAAGAAAGTCAAAATTAATAATGATTTGTGAAGATTCCAGAGACCAGACCAGCCACCGCAGCAGTCTCTGCCGCCCCCCAGCCATCCACACCTTATCCCAGGCCCCTTACCAGCAGGCAGGTCCCCATCCACTCAGACACCAGCACATCCACCTTCTCTGGCAGTACCACGTCCTCCACCTTCTGCTGGAACACGGTGATGATGTCAGCGAAGCCATTCTGCATGACCAGCTGCCCTGTGTGCTGGGCCATCTCACTGGCCTCCACCGCGTACACCTGCATGTGACAGAAGCACTGTTGGAGCATCCCGGCCCCAGGCTGAGGCCTGCTGTCACTCTGCCCAAGCCTGAGTCACCTCGCCTGAGTCAGAATCAGCGTCAGAGAAAATGACAGCGGCAGAACGAAGGCATGTTCTGGATGGCAGCAGCCGGCCCCCCGCTCCGCCCACCACAGGGACCCCAGGAAGGAGCTGCCTCTAATCCTAACTCCACCTTCTGCCTAAAACGCAGACATGGGGCTGCAGGTGGGCAGGAGCCTCTGCATCCACGGGCTGCCCACCCCCGAGCCCCGGGGAAGGCCCAGAGGCCTGGCTCCCATGCAAGCAGCAACACAGTCTGTAAGTGCCACAGGAGGTCCCTGGCACTCGACTGAGCCCAGGTACTTGCAGGCTACCAGTGGCTAATGACAAATCCAGGTTCCTAGAAGG